ACTTCATGTCAGCTCTGATGGCTAAAATGGAAGACTGACTATACCAAGTGTCAGCAAGCCTAAGGAACAAGTACAACGCTCAGAAAAAACTGGCAGGAAATGTAAAATAGTACAGCCACCACACCCAACAAGTTTGGTAGTTTTGTAAGTTTAGCATACACCTAGCAGAGGATCCCCATATTCTACTCCTAGGTCTTTACTCAAGAGAAATGGAAGTATACATTCACACAAAGACTTTCATGTGAATGTCCAAGTAACTTTATGTGCTCGAGAAAGTCCATCAACAGGTGAATGTATCTATAAGATTGGTACAGACATACAGTGGCACAAAATACAGCAACAAAAAGGGGCAAAATATTGATGACCACCTCAACATGAGTGAACTGCAAACTATGCTAGGTAAAAGACATCAGACACAAAAAGAAAGACTAAAGAGTACATATTGAATGATTCCATTCATTTAAATTCTAAAAAGTGGATATAATCTTTCTGACAGAAAGCAAATTGGTAGTCATCTAGGTAGGGATGGGGAAAGGAGGAGGAAGGGTTACAAAAGAACTCAAATATCCCAACGATCTGTTCCATCTCGATTGCAGTCATCATTTTGTGTGATTACACAGGTTGAAACTCTGTAATTTGAATACTTCCAACACATGCAGTTTAGAGCACCAATTATCTTAAAAAGGTGTAGAACAGAGTATTTAGTGTGGTAAACTCTGTAAGGAGTTATTATTATAGTTATTAATGTATGAAAACTGTAAACAAAAAAGAAGACTCTGCACTACATGTCTCAAGGGGAATATACCATTTCTGAAATTATCTCCAGATCATAAACTAGAGAAATATCTACGAAGGGGTTCAAGCTTCCTAAGGTATCAGGAAATCTCACTCCCCTCCAAAGCAAACAAAATTCACTTACACACAAAAATGTAACAAAGATAAGCAACCAAAAAATAATACCCAAGAAATTTCAATCAGAATGTTACAAAATCAAGAGAAAGAAGCTTATTGGATGAGCTAGGGAAGGCTCCGTTTCCATAGCACTGGGGATTTTCTAGTGCCAGACTGGAGTAATATTACTTTCCTCCTGTACCTTGTTTCAGATTAACAGTTTCCTGATCAACCCTTAATCACCAGATGTGCTCAAGATAAGGGGAAAATCATTTTATTATTTATAACTAAGATTTACTGAGTGTCTGCTAAGTGTCAGGCACTCACTGATCCTAATACCGGGTCAGTAATATTAGGCACCGAAAGATAGTTTCCTGGTCAAGGTCACAAAACTAATAGTAGAGCTCGAGTCAACCTAGGAAGTTGGACAGTGAAGTCCTGGTTCTTTAGCTTAAAACTGCACTACATTGCTTCTGCATGTCAGACGTTTTCTTACCTTTACAACACACAGAGGGTGAAGCCTACCTGTTATCACCAGCTGTTCCTGAGCTGCCTCATGATTATGCTGTAAGAACCGAGTTAAGCTACAAATGACAAATTTTCAGCCAGAAGACATATTATAAATTATTACTTTCTTTAAAAAGCAATTCGATTCACTCAGAAATCACTAAAACAGATCACTTTCCTTTTACCTTTACTCAGTTTTATGCCTAATTTAGGACTTCTAACAGAAAGTAGTTTTACATATTGAAACATTCTTTACAAGAAAAAGAACCTATTTGATAATTTAGCACCCAACATTTCTTTTTAAGGTGAATTCCTTTCCTGCACAGAAGATACTAAAAATTAATTTTGCTTCTTCTAAAATGGATGAAAAGGCAAATATACATTTCCTGTAGAATAATTCACTTTGAAATTATCATTGATATTTACAAAGAGCATGAAACTTTTTGATAATCAATGCTACATATACTTTTTACTATCAAATGACACATTAGTCAGTATGATACACATACATAGTCACGAAGACAGTCTTTCGTTTCCCATGAAGATGTGCCTGCTATTGGCAGGCTGTCATACCTAGTAAATGACTGGGGAACAAAACTGACTCAAATCTCTACCCTCGTAACACTTACCTTCCAGAGCAGTGAGTCTGATGATAACAAATGAGAAGAACATACACACGGTACATACGTCCAACATGATAAGTCTAATGAGATAAAACAAGGTAGAGGCTCAGGAGGCAGGGATGTGAGAACAAGGGTGATTGAGAAGAGATGGGTGGCAGTGGCTTTTTCATTTTAATTTCTTCTTCTTCTTCTTATGGTACTAGGGTTTGAACTCAGGGCCTCATCCTTGCCCTACTAATTGTGTCACACCTCCACCCCTTTTTGTTTTTTTAAGTTAGTTTTTTTGGATAGGGTCTCAAGCATTTTTACCCTGGGGTCAGCCTTGAACCTCAATCCTCCTACCTGTACCTTCCACATAGCTGGGATTACAGACATGTGCCACCGTGCCCTGCTAGTTGCTCTTTAGTCTGTCCTCAAAGATCAGAGAGAATATATAGATTAAGGTGGGAATTAACTGAAATTTGACTTTCCCTCATGCCTAATGAAATAATGCACATAACAAATGGGGAAATTTGAGGTTAAGAAGTCTCATTAAGGACTAAAAAGTGAGATAACGATTCTCTACATTCAAAAAGAGCTAAAAGTAAGCCTGAAGGGATAGGCGCAGTGTTATCCAGTTTCTCTTTATCATCTGATAATCTCAGTAAAAATAATAATATTCCTACTTCAATCTCCAACTAGGATGCAGTTCTTAAAATAAAAACATGAGTCAAAGCAAAAATTACCATTAAATTTCACATTTGATCAAGGAATATGTACCATGTGACAATCTCAAAATAAAGTTAGAAATCTGAAACTCTGGCAAAATTAGATAAAGTTAAATATTATATAATTCTTTAAAGCATAAAAAAATGTTAAAGCAAGATGAGAAAAAAGTCACAGAGTTCTAAAAAATCAGAAGCATGCACACCAAGTCCCCCTTCCTTCCCCCCCGCCCCCCCCCACCTTGGGGATGTCTTTTATTAGCCAGTCAGTCCTACTAGATATTGGTTGTAAATCTATAAACCGAAGATGGGAAGATGGGTCTCCAGACTCCACTTAAAAAATTACTAAATTTGTCTTCTGAGATTTTCCTGAGATTTTCATCAACTAGGATTTAATAGAAGAACAAAGAAGGATTTGGAGAGGTCAGTTACAGGTAGAGAAGCAGGCCCAATTGTTTGCTAAAGGCAAGGCTGAGCATTGGCTGTGATTATGGATAGGAAATTTCTGTCTAAATAAAAGCCTCTTGGAAGATTAACCCAGGAAACTCTAAGCAGCAGGTTGGGCATGATAACCTGAAGGGAAACTGTTGTAAATGTGGAAAACTGGGGCACTGGAAAGTTGAATGCCCTAAGAAGGGGCCACCATATACAGGGACATGCCTCCTGTGCAATAAAGAAAAACACCAGAGAAAGGGCTCTTTATCTTTCTTGGGGTGGGGAGGGTTGCAATCTGTGTTTGAAATGGCAGCTCTTGAGAACCAGAGATGACAAAGGGTTCCCACTATTGGAGCTCCAACCCATCAATTAACAATATTCTATGAGGAACTCCATGTGTCTCTACAAGTGGTTGATCTCTTTCTAAATAGAGCTGGACGGTCACCTGGATTGATAAACCCGGAAGATCAAAATACTCACTCCTCTCCTAACTTACAGGTATGGGAAATTTTTTTTTTTCTTGCTCTTCTTTTTTTTTCATTCGTATGTGCATACATTGTTTGGGCCATCTCCCCCGACTACCCCCTGCCTCCTCTCTCTCTCCCTCACCCTCCTCACTTCCAGGCAGAACTTGTTCTGCCATCTTCTCCAATTTTGTTGAAGAGAAGCAAGTCACAGATTTTAAAACAAATTTTCTCAAGCTGTTCTGAGAGAAATGAAACATTTTTCCATGAACACATATACAAAATCACTAATTTTTAACCCAATTTGCTCTCTTGTATGGAAATAAGAATGTAGATAATTTTATTGTTCTTTGATAGTCACATAATAAGTTACTAGTCACTGGAGCCCAAGTCTTAAGGCCCTTTTAAAATTTTAGAGTTACACAAGAATTAGGAAAGACACTGACATTAAGTGCCATGAGGAACTCCCTTCACAAGGTCCCTGATATAATTTGTTCCACTCTTGCCAGTGTTTTAAAAACTTCAGTCCCTCCTTATTTCAAATCCTCAGTCCTGCCTCCCTCAATTCTTACCTTGTTTTAATTCTTTCCTGGAAAAGATCAGAACAGGTTTGTCCTCCCTACCACCAATGTTTGCAGTTATGAAGACCTCACTCAACCTTCTCATCTTCCAGCTGAAACATGCCCAGTTCCTTCAAGTATTCCCTATGACAACAATTCCTGTGTTTTCAAAGACGCACACATGTACAATTTCATTCAAACCACATCAAAGTCTGTAAGTACAGTGCGCAATGTCATTCCTTCACTTGAAAATGCTCTTATAAGAATGTGTTAACTTGATAATTAATTTCACTGGATGAAGAGCTGGCATAGTTTTCTCCATCTTTTCTTGTGAAAATGCTGTTTGGAACCTAAACGAAGTTCTCAAAAGTCATACCAATGCGTCCTTACTGGCCTTTACTTATTTTGAAGGAACAGGCCATATAGCACAGTTAATGGAAAAAAAAAAAAAAAAGGAAAATCACATAAAACAGTTTGTTTAGCATCAATGTGTATAGCAGGTTTATTCAAATTTCAGCTCTTTGGACCACAGAATCAAAATCCCTGGACTGAGGCTGGAAGTCCTTGAAGAGAAACCTGCATAAAGTTGGTCACCCTGACACTTAAGAATCAAGGCCTAGGATTCTAGGTTATAAGTAAAAAGCAAACCTGGGACTGTACAGTGTCAGTCCTAAAACAGACATACCACCCAACCAGAGGTGGTGGCAAGTGCCTGTAATCCCAACTCAAGAGACAGACAGGAAGATTGTGAGTTTGAGGTCAGCCTGGGATATGTAGCATGATCCTGTCTCAAATAAAAAAAAAGAAGTATCTCACCTGTAATCCAGGGATAAATCGGGTGTCCTTTTCCACCACCAGAAGTTCAGCAATATTGGCATTGAGAAGGGATCTAGTGATTCCACCTGGCCCGGGGCCCACTTCATAAACGTAAGTATTTGTCAGATTGCCAGCTTTCCTTACAATTTTATCTACAGAAAAGGAAGTTATAATTTTATTAGCTTGGCAAATTTTAAATGAGTGGAATTTGAAGAGAAAATAATTATAAAACATTCTTACCAGTCATTAGTTGATTATTTAACTCTCAAACTAAATTGATATATAGTAGTCATTCAATATTCTACATCACTATTGAACTATACCAGTTTCTTACAAAAACAGATTATGACAACTTCCTTAATTTAAATTTAGCTATTATTCTATTTTCTGTTTCTCCATTAAACCAATCAATTTTTAAGACTTGGCTAGATAAGCATGTAGCACTTCTCTGTAGTTGTTGAACATCAAATGTTTAAATAAGCAAGATTATTTTCACATTCAGAATCTTTCATATTCAGAATCATTCAGAAAGAGCAGGTAGTCTCCATTTTTACTTATATTCATCTATTTGGTGGTCAGTATAGCAATGGCAACAAATTCCTAGATCCTAAGAGTGTCCGTAATTTGAATTTTTAGTCATTTCTAGGAGAAACTCCAGTTTAGGACAGGAGGTTTTTTAAACACTCCAAATACAAGTTTATATGGAAATATTAAGTCTTCAATTTAGTCAATTTAAGTCAGGAGACCTTAAGAAATCATAGAAAAGCAGAGGACTAATGAGGATTAATTGCAACTAATCACTTCTGGAAAAACATACAATTCACTGGGTTTACTGACTGCTACATATTCAAATCCAAGTAACTGGTACTCCTACAATAGTGGAAATGTAGCTACTGAAAACACCACGTCTTGGCAGTGTTTACTGACACTGTACAATTCCAGTGTTGCTTGTTACTGATAACCTATTTAAGCTTAAAGTCTCTTACCCACTCCAACTAGTTTTGTTTTTTAATGGATGTGGGGAGGAAAAAGGCATCCATCCACGAGGTGTCTGTTATAGGTGACGTACATACATTCTCTCATCCTTGAAATACATTAAGAACAGTACTCCAATTTAATTTCTCTGAACTTTTACAGGTCCCTTGTCTATTGTTTTATTTGTACAATGTCATACAGGAAACAAATGGCAGAGAAAAGACTCCAATTTAGGTGCAAATTCTAAACTCAAATTCTTGCTAGTTACAGTCATCAAATGCCACTGAGAAGAAACAAGAATTATTCATTAAGCCTGGGTAGTACAGAGTGAACTCAATATCCTTATTTTTAAAAATGGAAAATTATGACAGGTAGGACAGTGGTTCACTCTCAAACTTCTCAAGCACACTTAAATACAACTAAGTATCAAAGATGCAATGTCACATCACAATGTGACGTTTCAATGTTGCTCTGCTCCCAAATGGGCTTCTCATTCACCCAAGTACCTTAACTTCCCTTCACTTTGGTTCCCATAGGAAGAGAGAATAATGTCTCTAGAATCTGGAACATTCTCCTAAAGATGAGTAAAAAGACTCACATGAGAAAATACAAATGAAGAACTTTAGGAAAAAAAAAAAAACAACCTATATTTTCAGTCCTGAGAATGGTGTTTTGTATTTAGTAAGTGCTGATGACTAGTAGAAAAGGCTGGTTCTACCTATTACTAGAACCAAAATATTTTAGAAGTGGGCAGTCTCTTAATACTCTTGCAGTATGTCCCTCTTCCAATTAAAAGATGAGAAAACTTAAGTGGATACGCTGCTTTGCCCCAAATATTTCTACAGGCAGAATAAAGGTTCCATTATCAAGAAATAAAACTATTTATGCTTTTTCAGTTGTGCATTCTTTAATCAAAATAAACTTTGACTTTTTGGGTATTACTGCTCTTTTCAACTTCTGAAGAGGGCCCAAGTAGAATGAAATATAAAGATCTCAAAACATAAGTACTCCAGCAGTGAATCAATGCACTTATTTGCAGTAGATTTTATCCTTGCAATCTCGCCTTTTAGACAAGAGCATCACTAAGAAACTGGGGTGCTGGTTAAACCAACGTTTGTCAAACATACCAAATCATACACCTAAAACTGATGAATTTCACTGTAAAGAAATTTTACCTCATAAGAAGCGACTTAGGGCTGGGCACTGGTGGTTCATACCTGTAATCCTAGCTACTGGGGAGGCTGAGATTGGGAGGATGGCGGTTCAAGACCAGTGTGTGTGTGTTGGGTGTTGTTTGTGAGCTTCCCATCTTAATGGGAAAAAGCTGGGCGTAGTGGTGTACACCTGTCATCCTAGCTACAGAAGTGTAAAATAAGAGTATCCTAATGCAGGCTGGCCTGGGCAAAAAGCCAGGCCCTATCTCCGGAATAACTAGAGCAAAAAGGGCTGGAGGCGTGGCTCAAGTGGTACAGTGCCTGTTCTGCAAGCACAAAGCCCTGAGTTCAAATCCCATAACCCCCTCACACACACGCACAGCATGGCACGTGCACGTATTAAAACTCAGCATCTTGGAGGAGACTGGCTTATTCACTCCCATCTCTTAACCCCAGTGTTAGCACACGACAGCTCGAGCAATTCGTATTTACTGAATGCACGTCGGCACCCTGGAGGATTTCTTCAGCCTTAACAAGGACATACTTTTGAGACGAGTCACTGATAAAGAAACTTCGCACTAATTTAAATGCTGCTAACTTCGAAATACAGTAAATGCACATCTGGTCAGCACGTGCGGTACCATTTCGGTGACAGAGGCAGCAGTGCCACAGCCACCTTGCCCCGCATGCAGCCCTTCGGCCCGGTGAGCCCCGCGCCCTGGACGCGGGGCTTCGGGAGGAGCCCACGCACTTCCCGTGCCGGGCGGCGGATCTGCGGAGTGCTTGGTGCCCAGCAGAAGAGTCGCCCGCCAGCCCCGGCTCTAACACCCGCCCACGCCCCCAGGGACGCCGGGAGAACTGGGCGCACTGAGAACACATCCACCTGTCAGCCTCGAGTCCAGGAGAAAATTCTGGGATAGCTGCTTCATTGCTTGTAGTCTGAACAACTTTATGATTTCTCGAATGGTGGGCAACGGCGGGAGACGGAATGTGCTGAGTTTCCCGGAAGCAGCCATGAGGTCGGCGCATGCTGCCTGCCTTCACCCTTCCTTTCCCAGCGCTCCCAGGGAATGCCGGCGGGGGCGGAGCCTAGAGGACGAATGCCCGCCTCTGGACTCACTTCATTGGTCAGCGTTTCCTTTCCGGAAGTGACGAATCGGGCAGGAAATCCTGGTGCGCTATGAGGGCACGCACTGCGACCCGCCAAGAGCGGTACCCGCTGGGTGCGCGGTGGTTTCCGCTTGTGAGCGCGGCGGACGTTCCCTGTGGGAGCGGATTCCCGGAAGGGGCGGGGCCTGGCAAAGCTTCGTGATTCCGCCTTTGACCCTCCAAGTGTCGGTTTAGGAATAGTAGTGGGAGATAGGTTGATTTCCGGCAAAGGTATTGTTTGTTGGCAGTGTTTAGAACCTCAGCTCTGCAGGTATTGCACAGCGCGTATCTTCCTGCCTCAGTTTTTAAATCTATTAAATGGACATAGTGTGTACCTAAAGTTGTGAGCGCCAAGTGAGCGAGGCCACCAGGTGTGTAACGCATTGCCTATGGCAATCAATGACTGCCAGTTACTACGACAATAATTTGGCAAATGAGTGTGATTCAGAGAGGACCAGCAACCAAAATGCAAATTCTCTAACCCTTCAAAATGTCTTCAGCTGGGGAAAAAAATTCACCTTGTGTGTGTGTTTTAAATTAGCGTATATTAATTGTACAAAACCCCGGCCATTTACATATTGCATATATTATACTTTGATCCCATTCTCCCCGCCTGTGACCCTCTCTTGCTCCCTCTTAATCTTTCTCCTGTTCCACGTTCCTAATAGTGCCTCATTTATTTTCATGTGCTCTTGTACCCCTTCTAGACATTCTTGCCTTGCTGAGTCTGGCTTATTGTGCTTAACATGTTAAATTAGCCTTTCGCAGTCGTTTTAAGTAGGGGAGAAAGGAGGATGAGGGAGACGATGGTGGGGGCAAAGCTAACCATGTACTAAGTCAGCATATTCAGAAATGTCACAATGAATCCTCCCTGTACAACTGATCTATGCTAATTAAAATTCTTTGAGGAAAAAACATTAACCTCAATTGGCCTGAGGATGCCTGTGAACTTGATCCTTAGATAGAGAACTACAGCCTTGTTTAATAGGTGAGCTAACTGAAAGCCTAATTTAGGAGTATGCTTTTGTAACAAACGGCTGAGTCTCAGCACTTTAGACTTTGTCAAGTGTTTTTGTGTATATCAACTATTTTTTTAATCTTTCACTAATAGTTTTGTGAAATAGATAGGATAAGTTCTCCTAGCCTCAGTTTAGGCAAGTAAATAGAAGCATAAAGGTGATGCAACTTAATGAAATTCATAAAGCTAGAAAATTGTGACTCCAGATCCAGCAGCTGCTGTTTCTACAGTGCCTGTGCAGTGGGTACTGGCTGTCACTCAAGTTCTTAGTGCTCATTCATGCTACAGGTATTGTAGCCTCTCCTTTCTTTAATCTCAGAGCAGTAACTGAAAGCTAAGGATAAAAAGGAAGGAAAAGAGACATGATTAAACTGAAAAAAGTTAACATCCATACAGCTTTTAGAAAAGTGCCAGACTTCAGGACTGAGTGCTTTACAACTGTTCTCTTACTAATTGTTACAACACAGCAAATAGATAGATTTTATTGTTATATAGTTTTTAAAGATAAAGTAAGACTCATGGAGGAAGGTTCATTTCCCATATGCTATATAACTAGTAAGTGATGGAGTCAAGATTTGAATCTAAACCAGTTCAAAGCCTGCTTTTATAGACAGTGTAGTCAAGGTAGAAAGGTCTTTTGCTTAGGGAAGGATACAGCCAAGTATGGAGAGAAAACGCAAATGAAAGTTCTGTCCTTCCATTTCACCAGGAAAAATGATAAAGCAAAGTACTAAAATCTCTCTGATATGTGGGAGACTCTTGCTCTTCTAGCCCTGTTTTTATTTGTAAGTTGTTGCACTGATCACAAATGAAACATAAAGATTTTTATGTCTCCAGTCTTCTAAATTGAAGAGGCCACCCACAGAGTGGGAGAAAATATTTGCTAGCTATACATCAGACAAAGGATTGATAACGAGAATATACAGAGAGCTCAAAAAACTAAACTCTCCCAAAATCAATGAACCAATTAAGAAGTGGGCAACTGAACTAAACAACTTTTTCTAAGGAAGAAATCCAAATAGCCAAAAAACACATAAAAAAAATGCTCGCCATCCCTGGCCATAAAGGAAATGCAAATCAAAACCACACTAAGATTCAATCTTACCCCTGTTAGAATGGGTATCATCAAGAACACCACCACAACAACAAATGCTGGCGAGGATTCGGGGAAATAGGAACCCTCATACACTGCTGGTGGGAATGTAAACTAGTACAACCACTATGGAAAACAATATGGAGGCTCCTTAAAAAGCTAAACATAGATGTGCGATACCACTCCTAGGGAGATACCAGAAGGAATATGACTCAAGTTATTACAAAAGCACCTGCACACCTATGTTTATTGCAGCACTATTCACAATAGCCAAGCTATGGAAACAGGCAAGATGCTCTGCAACCGACAAAAGGATCACGAAAATGTGGTATTTATACACAATGGAATTTTACTCAGCCACAAAGAAGAATGAAATTTTGTCATTCACAAGTAAATGGTTGGAACTAATGAACATCATCTTAAACGAAATTAGTCAGGCTCAGATGGCCAAAAATAGCATGTTCTCCCTCATATGCAGATTATAGACCCAAAGCAAATACAGTAATATTATTGGAATGGGTCACACACTAAGGGGAGAGCATGCATGGGAGAAATAGGGAAAGAAAAGGAAACCTAAAACTTGAATATGCTTGATATTCACCCTGTTGAGGAGTGAATAAAGTGACCTTAAGTTGGCAGAGGCCACTATGGGAAGGAGACCAGTAAATAGTGAAGAGGTCTGGTAGAAAAGAACCAATTTGGGTTGCAATACACAAGTACATGGAAGCAACACTAGGAATCTCTCTGTATAGCTATCTTTATTCCAAACTAGAAAAATGATGTCTTTCTTATTATCTCTTATGTTTTCTCTTCAACAAAATTGGAGAAGAGGGCAGAACAGGTTCTGCCTGGAAGCTGGGGCTGGGGGTGGGGGTAGGTGGCACAAACAATGTATACACATGTAAGTAAATGTAAAAATGATAAAAGAAAAGAAAAGAAAAAAAGCTTATGGTAAGCTAAATAGCAACAGATATGATGTAGAAGTGAGAAATCCATTGAAATTCCCCTGAATACCCCACCCACCTTCTATTATAGCCATATTAGAAGAAACCATGAGGTAATCAGATACAGCTCCTCACTTTAGAAAATGAGGAAGGGGTAAAGATATTTGCCCAAAGTGTCATCAAATGTAGGTTGAAAGCTTACGTGCTGAATTCAGAGGTCTTATTAGCCATAGCATAGCCTGGGAAGGCATTCCTTCATGACATATTTGTGGTTTTACTTACTCCTCACAGTGGTCCTATGTAAACGAGTTTATTTATCATTTTCTTACTGTGAAAAAATAGAAGGAGGTGCTGTCATTTATCCTGCCCAGGGCAATGAACATAGAGAAGAAAACTGGAGTCCTGCCTTCTCTAGGTTCCTATCTGATTGGCCATGCCACTCAAATACTGTATCAATTTAAATTATTTTTAAGTTAATTAACTTATGTTACATTTTATAGTGTTATATAAAAGTATAGAAATAAGAATCTAGGTGTAAACTTGAGCTTACAGTTTTCATATGAGTATATGAAACACAGAGTAAAATATGCAAATTTACAAGACAATACAAATGATCTTATTTCCAATGACAAATGATGTTATGTCACTGCTCTTAATGTTGACTGGTAGGATTTTTTTTTTTTAACTTCAATTTATCAATGCTGCAGTGCATTGTGTATGATTGAATGTTCTCATCAATTTTCTGGAGTCAAATTATTACCAAATCTTTGTTCCAAATTTGTGTCATTGTCATTTGGGAGAACATGGGAGCTACATATGAAGTCTGCCTGTGTCGATTATCATCAGATTGGAAACAACTGAAGTTGAGTCATTTGGCAACAATGCTGTCATGAGTACATGACAGTCACAAAGCAGATAATCCAGGATGTAATCACATCATTTAAAAAAAAAGATTAACATAAGCCAGGTGCTGGTGGCTCACACCTGTTATTCTAGCTACTTGGGAGGCTGAGATCAGGAGGATTGTGGTTATAGGCCAACCCAGGCAAAAAGTTTGTGAGACCCCACTTCAATGAATAGCTGGACGTGGTGGTTCACGCCTGTCATCCCAAGCTATGTATTATGGGAGGATTGAGGGTCCAGCCCAGCCTGGGCAAAAAAGTTCGCAAGACCCCATCTTAATGGAAAAAACTGGTTGTGATAACACACAACTGTCAACCCAGCAATGGCAGGAAGCCTAAAATAGGAGGATCACAGTCCAGTCTTGTTCTGAGCAAAAAGCAAGACTCTGTCTCCAAAATGACCAAATGTGGGGGGGGGAGCGGGGAGTACTGGAAATGTGGCTTAAGTGGTAGAGCACATGCCAATGTCAAGCCCTGAGTTCAGGTCCCAGAGCCACACACACACACACACACACACACACACACACACACACACACGATAACATCAACCTGAAAACAAATTCAAAAAAACAAAAACCACATTTCCTGGAGAATTTTACAATCCTGAGAATCTGTTCCTAGATCTAAGTAGGGATTTATTGTCGTAAACCATACTGTCTCCAACAATCTTCATTTGTGACGCTATGGCCCCTCATCTACACAGCAATATCCCATGTTACTTCACTCAATTCTCACTTAAAATCTTTGTTTTAGGTTCACAAAGATAGGCAGCGACTCCTTCCATGTCACCATGCTGGTAAGTGGTGAGTCTGGAATTCAGGTCTTTTGATTCTACTGTGTTTTTAAATTAACCTTGTATTAAATAATTATTGAACTGAATAAAAAATTCCATCTTAGGAGAGTCTTCCAAGTTTTTAATAATTCTTGAGATCCAATTTTTATCAT